CCTTCCTTCCCTTTCCTTTCTCCCTTCTCTTCCTCCCTCCCTCCCTTCCTTCTTTTCTTCCCTCTCTCTTTCCTTCCTTCTTCCCTCCCTTCCTTTTCATTTTCTCATCTTCTTTCCCTTTCCTCCCTCCCTCCCTCTTCCTTCTCCCCTTTTAACAAACGCCCCACTTAGCAACAGAAACATCGGGCTCCACTGCGGCCATTTAGTCCAGGCCTCCCAGTACCCCTCGAGTCCTGCTCCAACTCCTTTTCCTCTTCCTCTTTTCCAGGGATCGAAGTCTCAGAATCGGCTCTCTACCAGCCGATGATCAACGCCGGGCTGACCCACGCCGACAGCCGTCTCCACATCTGCCCCACCGTCTTCGGAGAAAGGCACGCGCCCTCCCGCCTGGCATCGGTGACAGCGATCGCGGCCTCCGAAATTTCCTTGGGGCACGTCATCCGGGCTTTGTGCCGGGGGGTGGTCCGAAACCTGCACACCATGCTCCCCTCCGAGGCCTTGAAGGACACCGGGGCGAAGCGGATCGTGGCCAGCGGAAGCGGGCTCTGCCGAAACGAGGTGATGAAGCAGGAAGTGGAGGAGGCCTTCACGCTCCCGGTGGCCTACGGCAAAGCCGCCGACGCGGCCCTGGGCGCGGCTTACGTGATGCTGAGGAGGAATTCCGGCAGAACAGAGCCAGAAGGGACCTCGGAGGTCTTCTAGTCCATCCTCCTGATCCAGCAGGAGGTGCTACGCTATTCCGGACAAACGGCTGTCCAATCTCTTCTTTAGAAACTTCCGGTGTTGGAGCATTCACAACAAGGGTCTTCAAACTTGGCAAGTTTAAGACTTGTGGACTTCGACTCCCAGAATTCCTGAGCTAACATGACTGGAGGAGGAACTCTGGGAGTCGAAGTCCACAAACCTTAAAGCTGTTCAAGTTTGAAGACCCCTGATTTACAACTTCTGAAGCCAAACCATTCCGATGATTAATTGTTCTCACGATCAGGAAATTCCTCCTTAGTTCCAGGTTGCTTCTCTCCTGGATTAGTCTCCCTATAAAAGGGATCAATATTAACCCTGGGCACGTGATCGAATTCCGAGCTCAATCAGGAACCATAGAATCTTAGACTGAAAGGCCCCTGCTCAAGGCAAGAGGCACGGCTGCAGTTAAACAAGCAGGAAAAGAGGGCTGTTTCAAAGGCCGCTTCTCTGCACGCCGCATGCTGATGACGATTTACAGGCGCGCGCACTGCAGCGTGCAGGGAAGCACATCATAAATCACCAAACCTCGTAAAACACTGAACCGGTAGTATCCCACCCCTGGAGCTAGTCCAGGGTTCACCAACGTTTCGGACCTCAGGGACCTCACTAAATTCATAATTTTAAAACCTGCAGACCACTAATATGATTTTTTTTTTAAAAAAAAGATAGGGTTTAGTGCAATATAAAAAATGGAAATAATTTTTCTGCGAACCACCCAAATTTTCTCACGGACCACCAGTTGTTGACCGCCAGTTAGTCGAGCCCCCTTCTCAAGCAAGAGACCCTGTCCTATACCATTCCAGACAAATGGTTGTCCAGTTTCTTCTTAAAAACATCCAGTGAAGGAGCACCCACAAATTCTGGTGGCCAGCTGTTCCACCGGTGAATTGTTCTCATTGTCAGGAAAGTTCTAGATGGTGTCAAGCCCAAAATTGACATGTGCAGCCATTTTATTTCGCCTTTTTATATATTCCTTTTCTTTCTCTTTGCTAATTATGGGGGGGAGAGGGTTTCGGGCTTGCCACATTCCTAAGGTGGGAGGAGTGGAGACAGAGTTGTTTAGGCTAAGTGGTTCTCCTTCCCGTGGGAACCAAAGCTCACCTGCTGGGATCTGAAGGTGGAGATTGATAACACCAGGCAACGTGTCAGGATTCCGGCAGTTACTCCAGTTAAATCATGAGCCTTGAGCCACGCTCCCAAAACTAAAAAAGATTTATTTGAAGGTAACATTCTACGTCCACCATTTACCTGGGCGTAGCCAACTCTGAGATATGTAATTCACTGTCACCCTTGATCCTGCTTTCCCCCTCACCCCTCTGGGTGTATTATCCGACGAAAAACGTCCATAGCCAAGAGTCATCAATCATGCTCTCCAATTAGATTTTTGTGTGGCAGAAGCTTCAGTCATCTAATCCGTCTTTGAAGAAAATATGAATGGAATGTATTTTCGATTCCACACTGCCGCCTGCTCTTTGAAACTCCCCCCACTCTTTCTATTGTCAACTATAAAACGTGTATACAAAATGTTTTATGAGTTGACACCATGTTGATTTACTTCTATTACTTCTATTGGGGAATATGACTTTTAGAAGTTGTTTGTGACTTCCAATATTATGTGGTGTAATTCCAGGTTGTGTCAGATCCGGAATTACAACAGACTTTGCCAATTTGATACTATTCTAAATAAAAGAAATTATGATGGAAGATGGACTTGGCTTGTTTCTTTTTGAATGGATTTCATCACTTGGAAACCTGACTGATGGCTTCTCTTCTTGAATACAGGCTGTCCTTGACTTACAACAGTTCATTTAGGGACCAAAGTTACAACGGCACTAAAAAAAAGCGATTTATGACTGTTTTTCACACTTATGGCCATTTCAACATCTCCCTGGTTACAAGATCAAAATCCAGATGCTGGGCCACCGACTCATACTTACGACGGTTGCAGTGTCCCGGGGGTCACGCGGTCCCCTTTTGTGACCTTCGGACAGGCAAAGTCGATGAGGGAAGCCAGATTCACTTAACGCCCATGTGGCTAACATAACCCATGCGGTGATTCCCTTAACGACGGTGGCAAGAAAAGTCGTAAGATGGATCTAACAAATGTCTCACTTAGCAACAGAAAGGTTGGCCTCTTATGGTCGTAAGTCGATTATTACCTGTGGCTTCCAACTGTTGCTTCTTGCCCTGCTCTCAGGTGCCTTGGAAATGAAACACACACACACACACACACACCCCAATCCATGGGGCCAGGAACCCATCTTCCTCTGCCCTCAAGCCCGCTGGGCAAAGACTAGAGGTGAAATGCTGCCGGATCACCCCGGTTCGCCCAAACCGGTAGTAAAAACAATGCTACTAGTTTGAGCAAACAGCAGGGGTGGGATTCTACCAGTTCTGTCCCCTTCTGTAGAACTGGTTGCTCTGAAGAGCAGCAAACAGAGAGCATACATAGAACCGGTTCTATGTTTGCTGCTGTTCTGGCCCACCTGCCAGCCCAGGCTCTTACCTGACCTTTATTTCCTGCGTTTTCAACCACAGCTGCTTTGCGCAACACAGCTGTGATTGAAAAAGCAGGAAAAAAGGGGCTTTTCCAACCACTGCACACTTGCACGCAGCGCTGCTCAGCTGTCAGAACCGGTAGTTATATTGGTCGGATCCTATCCCTGGTGAACAGGTATTTTTCGACGATCAGCTGTGCCAAGCAATTTAGATCAACTAGAAATCAGGAAATGGTCGGACTCACAGCTGATTCTCCCCCTCCCGCCCACCCCGCTTTTGTACTTACCTTGGAAGGCTTCAAAATGCTTCTTTTTTCAGTGCCCAGAAGGCCAAACATGGGGCATGGGGAGTTTGCTGAAAAAGAAAAAAGAGCTTTGACCCCCGAATCATATGTCCACATAGCTACGCCCACCTTTGGTTTGGCTCTGCAACCCAACAAGACAGACACGGACTTCAGAGAGTAATTAGGACTGCAGAAAAAATAATGGCTACCAGCCTGCCTTCCATGGAGGACCTGTATCCTGCACGAGTCAAAAAGAGGGCTGTGAAAATATCTACAGACTCCTCACATCCCGGACATAAACTGTTCCAACTCCCACCCTCAAAACGACGCTATAGAGCACTGCACACCAGAACAACTAGACACAAGGACAATTGTTCCCGAAGGCCATCCCTCTGCTAAACAAATAATTCCCTCAACATTGTCCAACTATTGACAAAGTCTGCACTACTATTACTATTAATCTTCTCATCACTCCTCATCACCCATCCCCTCCCACTTGGGACTGTATGACTGTAACTTTGTGGCTTCTATCCTTACGATTTATATTGACTGTTTCCTAGTATGATTTGATTGCTTATTGTACCCAATGACTATTATTAAGTGTTGTACCTGATGATTCTGGACTCTTGATGAATGTATCTTTTCTTTTATGTACTTTATTTATTTATTTTCTTTGGCTCAGTATTTGTAAACAGCAATGGATCATGCCCAGTATTTCCTAGCCGAACCATAGAAAACTACAATGATCTAATACATATCGATCTTACAGAAGACAATGTTGTAAAAGCACTACGCAATCTAAAACCATCTCTATCTATTGGACCGGACGGAATATGTGCCTACTTCTTAAAAAAGCTATCCACTGCCATAGCCGAACCTCTAAGCATAATCTTTGAAAAATCTTTCAGGACCAGCTCCTTGCCTCACCTATGGTCACAAGCCACAGTCATCCCCATCTTCAAAAAGGGAGACCCCAGCCTAGTTGAAAATTACAGACCAATCTCTTTATGCTGCGTCACCTGCAAAGTCATGGAATCAATTATTAACCAATTCATCATCCTCCACTTAGAAACAAACAACCTACTCTCTAATAAACAATTTGGTTTCAGAAAAAAACTATCCTGTAATCTGCAACTCTTACACTGCAAAAACATATGGACTACACAACTCGATCAGGGCAAAACAATAGACGCAATCTACATAGACTTCTGTAAAGCCTTTGATTCAGTGGTACATGACAAGCTACTCCTAAAACTAAAATCTTATGGTATCTCTGGACACCTGCATAACTGGATAGAAACATTCCTGTCAAACAGTTCAACAAATGGTCAAAATTGGGAGCGTCCTATCAAATTCTGTACCTGTCAATAGTGGTGTCCCCCAAGGCAGTGTTCTAGGACCAACTCTCTTCATACTCTACATAAATGACCTCTGTGATCATATTAAGAGCAACTGCATTCTCTTCGCTGATGATGTAAAGTTGTTCAATACCACAGACGATACTGCTACCCTTCAAAAAGATCTTGACTATGTAGCAGAATGGTCAAACAAATGGCAACTTCAAATCTCAACAAATAAATGCTCTGTCTTACATATTGGCAAAAAAAATATCAGAAAATAAAATACAAGCTGAATAGTCAAGATCTTGTTGATGATCCAAGCTCTGTGAAGGACCTTGGAGCACTCATCTCTAATGATCTAAGTGCTAGAGTCCACTGTAACTACCTAGCCAAAAAGGCATTAAGTTTTGTTAACCTAATCCTACGTAGCTTTTTCTCTGGTAATATCACACTACTAACGAGAGCATACAAAACATTTGCTAGACCAATACTCGAATACAGCTCATCAGTCTGGAACCCACATTACGTATCTGATATTAGCACAGTTGAGAAAGTCCAGAAATATTTCACAAGAAGAGTTCTCCACTCCTCTACTCGTTGTAGAATACCTTATGCCACCAGACTTGAAATTCTAGACCTAGAAAACCTTGAATTACGCTGTCTTCAGTCTGATCTAAGCATGGTATATAAAATCATAATTGCAATGACTTACATATCAATGAATACTTCAGCTTCAACCATAACAACACAAGAGCACACAATAGATACAAACTTAAGGTTAACTGCACTAAACTTGACTGCAGGAAATACGACTTCAGCAACAGAGTGGTCAATGTCTGGAATCCTCTACCTGACTCTGTGGTTTCTTCCCCAAACCCCAAAAACTTTAACCTTAGACTGTCTACTATTGACCTCACCCCTTTCCTAA